TATGGAGGCTACATGGCATGTTATTTAAAAATGAATGAGTTAAAAAGAGATTATGGAAAAAATAAAAAAGTTTCTGAAAACAAATGAAAAGGAACACAAAACAACACAAAATCTATGAGACATAATGAAAGCAGTCCTGAGAGGGAAGTTCATATTATTACAGGATTACCTAAAAACAAACAAACAAACAAAAAAAAACTTTTAGTAAAGTATCAAACCTTACAACTTAAAGACTTAGAAAGAGAAAAACAAGAAAATCTCAGAATAAGTAGAAGGAAGGAAATAAAGACAAAAGCAGAAATAAATGAAATAGAGACAAAATACACAATGCAAAAGATCAATGAAACCAAGAGCTGGTTCCTTGAAAAGACAAACAGAATTGATGAACCTTTAGGTAGACACATCAAGAAACAAAGATCCAAATAAACAAAATCTGAAAGGAAAGAGGTGAAGTAACAACTGATCCAACAGAAATACAAAAGATTGTAAGAAAATACTAAGAACAACTATATGCCAACAAGCTGCACAACCGGGATGAAATGGACAAATTCCTAGAAAAATACAGCCTTAAAAAACTCAATCAGGAAGAGTCAGAAAACCTGAAAAGGTCAATAACTGCTGATGAAGTTGAAGCAGCAATCAAAAAACTCCTTGCACACAAAAACCTTGGTCTAGATGGCTTCAAAAAGGAGTTTTACCAAACATTTAAAGAACTAACACCTATTCTCTTCAAACTTTACCAAAAATCCAACAGGAAGGACCGTTTCCAAGCTCTTTTTACAGGGACAGCATTAGCCTAATTCCAAAACCAGATACACTACAAAGAAAGAGAATTACAGGCTAATACCCCTGATGAACATAGATTCTAAAATCCTCAAAAAAAAATTAGAAAATCGGATCCGTCAATATATTAAAAAGATCATACACCATGAGCAAGTGGGATATATTCCAAGGATGCAAGACATGTACAATATTAGCAAATCAATAAATGTGATATATCACATAAACAAATTGAAAAAAAAAAAAATCACATATTCATATCAATAGACACAGAAAAAGCATTTGACAAATCCCAACAACCATTTTTGATAAAAACTCTCAGCAAAGTAGAATAGAGATATCATAAATCAACACAATAAAGGCCATGTATGACAAACTTAGAGCCAACATCATACTCAATGTGCAAAAACTAAAAGAATTTCACCTAAGAACAAGAACAAGACAGGGGTGTCCACATTCACCACTCTTATTGAACATAATACTGGAAGTCCTAGCCACAGCAATCAGACAAGAAGAAAACATAAAAGGTATCTAAATTGGACAGGAGGAAATAAAGCTGTCATTATCTGCAGATGAAATGATATTGTATATAGTAAATCTTAAAGACTCCACCAAAAAACTACTAGATTTAAGAAATGATTTGGCAAGGTAGCAGGATACAAAATTAACATGCAGAAATCTGTGACACAGTTATAGACCAATAATGTACTCTCAGAAAAACCAAAAGAAAAAAATCCCATTTACCATTGCAACTAAAAATTAATTTAATTAGGAATAAACCAAACCAAGGAGATAAAACACCTGTACTCAGGAAAACTACAGGACATTGAAAAAATAGAGGAAGATATAAACAAGTGGAAGAATATACCATGTTCATGGACAGGAAGAATTATTGTCATTAAAATTTCCAAACTATCCAAAGTAATCTATAAATTCAATGCAATCCCTATTAAGATACCAACAGCATATTTCACAGATCAAGAACAAACACTACAAAAATTTATATGGAACCAAAAAAACCTCGAATAACCACAACAACCTTGGGAAAGAAGAACAAAGTTGAAGGGATCACAATACTGAATATCAAGTTATATTACAAAGCACTGTAATAAAAAAAAGTCTGGCACTGGCACAAGAACAAGAACATAGATTAGTGGAACAGAATAGAGAACCCAGAAATCAAATAAAGCTATTATTCTCAATTAATATATGATAAAAGAGCAAGAATACACAATGGAGTAAAGATATTCTTTTCAATAAATGGTGTTGGGAAAATTAGCCAGGAATATGCACACAAAAAAATGAAACTAGGCTGCCAACTTATGTCATACCCAAAAATAAACTCAAAATGGGTAAAAGACTTAAATGTAAGTCATGAAACCATAAAAATTTTAGAAGAAAATATAGGAAGCAAAATCTCAGACATTTCTCATTGCAATATGTTTGCTAATACATCTCCTAGGGCAAGAGAAACAAAGGAGAAAAGAAACAAATGGGACTACATTGAAATAAAAAGCTTCTGCACAGCAAAATAAATCATCAACAAAATGAAAAGGGAGACCAATGCATGAGATGGGATATTTGCCAATGACACATCTGATAAATGGTTAATATCAAAAATATATAAGGAACTCATACAACTTAACAAAAGGAATACATACAATCCAATTAAAAAATGGGCAAAGAACTTAAATAGGCACTTCTCCAAAGAGGACATTCAGATGGCCAAGAGACACATGAAAAAATGCTCAAAGTAGTTGATCATCAGAGAGATGCAACTTAATACAATGAGATATCACCTCACACCTGTCAGTATCGCTACCATCAACAAACTACAAATTCTGGCAAGAATGTAGAGAAAAGGAAACCTTAGTACACTGCTGGTGGGAATGTAGACTGGTGCAGCCACTGTGGAAAACAGTGTGGAGTTTCCTCAAAAAATTAAAAATGGAACTGCCATTGATCCCATGTTCCCAGTTCTAGGAATATATCCTAAGAAACCCAAAGCACCAATCAGAAAGAGTTTATGCACCACAATGTTTATAGCAACACAATTTGCAATAGCTAACATATGGTAATAGCCAAAGTGCCTATCAGTAGATGAACATATTAAAAAGCTGTGGCAGAGAAAAACAAGTATCACATGATCTCATTCATATGTGGAATCTTATGAACAAAATCAACTGATGAACAAAATAATAAAACCATGGACATAAAACCATGGAACAGAGTGAGGTTTCTCAGACAGAAGGCAGAAGTGGGTCAGTAGGTGGGGAGAGATTAATCAAAGAACTTTTCTGCTCATATGCATAAGCTATGGACCCAGACATTGATATGTGGTAAGCCTGGGGGTGGGGTGATGTGGGGTGAAAGGGATCAATGGGGGTTAGAAAGGGTAATATATAATACTTTCAACAATAAAGATAAATTTAAAAAGCTTACAGCATAAATAAGGATAGTTTGTGACAACAAAAACATAAAAAAGGGGGTAAAGGTCTGAATTTGCAAAGGTGTATGGAGAGTAAATCATTCAAAAAATACCTTATATATGAAATATTATTTTTCATAAACCTAGTGGTAACTACACACAAAAAAACCAAAACTGGGACACATAAACTAAAACATGAAGAAACCGAGTGTAAAATTATAGAATACAACCAAATAAAAATAGCAGTCAGAAACACAAGAGAAAGGAAAAAAATAGAGGCACAGGGCTAGAGGATAACAAAAGTTAAAATGGCTATAAAAAGTCCCCATATATCAATAATTACCCTAAATGTAAATGGACTGAATTCATCAATAAAGAGGCATGGAGTATCAGACTGGATCAAAAAATAAAACCCAGCTATCTGCTGCCCTCAGGTGACATATTTAGGTTGCAAAGACAAAAATAGACTCAAAGTAAAAGGGTGGAAATTAATTCTCCATGCAAATAGCACCCACAGAAAAGCAGCTGTAGCCATACTTATATCTGACAAAATAGATTTCAAGATAGAAAGGTAATAAGAGATAATGATAAAGAGGGCAATGCAACAAAAATGCATACCACATGTTAATATATATGCACCCAATCAGGGAGCATCAAAATATATACAGCAACTACTCACAGAACTAAAGGGAGAAACTGAAAAAAACATAATTATAATAAGGGACCTAAATACTCCATTGATACCTCTAGATTGATCAATCAAAAGAAAATTAATAAAGATATATCAACCCAAATGGACATAACTGACATTTACAGAGCCTTTCATTCCAGAACATCAGATTATACATTCTTCTCCTGTGCACATGGAACATTCTCAAAGATAAACCATAGTCTCAACATATTTAAGAATATTGATATTATTCCAAGCATATTCTCTGACCACAATGCTTTGAAATTAAACATTAACTGCAAAGAAACAGTTTAAAAAACACCACAGATATGTGCAGATTAAACAACATACTATAAAAAATGACTGGGTTAAAGAACAAATAGATGGTGAGATCAAAAGGTAGATAGAGACAGGGATGGGGAAGATGGCGGCACTGTGACAAGAAGCACAGTGCCCTTGTTCCCAACCACAGACTCAATTTACCACTAAAATACTCCATAACCAGCTTGGAAAAACCAGAGGCATATACCTGAGTGGATGTATTTTGAGTAGGGAGCACTGAAGAAACATCATAGAGTCTGGTAAGAGGGGTCATAGATAAAAGGAGTCCCTCATGAAGCCCGTGCTGGGCTCTGAGACCCTAAGGCTAGAGCCTGCAAAGCTCCTTTCTATTGGGAGTGTGCACTGGCATACAAAGGCTGGAATCTCAAACCCAAAGCAGACGATAAGGAAAGGAGAGCACCATGCAGAGAGAAGATGGACCCAGGGGAACAATGTGCTTTCAAGGAGAGGACCATGCCTTCCTAGTGAAACAAAGCTTCTAATGGCAGCCACCACATACATCTTTCACACCAGGTACTGACCATAGAAAAGGCAGTCCCATAGTGTGAAGTTTATGAATAGAAAGGGGACAGAAGGATGCACTGAGCAGCCACATACGGGGACTGTCTACCTTCCTGTAAAGCATTGTGTACAACCCAAGAGGGCATTTGATCTGTGTGGTGTGGGGAAGGGGAAGAGAGCCCTCCTGCTGACAGAGATGGACTAGAGCTGCCTGTGGGACAGATAAGATTCCCCGCTGCCTGAGAGCCCAGTGGGGTGATTCTGGGATATGTGACCCACCTTGAGGGGTGCCTGGATATTGTGCAAAGAGCTGCACCAGCTTTACTGAGATCAGCTGTCCAGGGGACCTCAGTGGGTCTGACTTTCTGACCCCTAATGTTTGGTACTGAGGCACAGGGGCAACAGCACCTTGCAGGTCAGATTCTCTGTTGCGTGTTGCTTTGTGCATGTTTGAGTTTTTGATCTCTGAATGGATGTCCATCTTTCTGGCTTCCGTTGGGAAGACAGGCCAGTGAATGCTGGGATTTATGTCTGCATTGTGGAGAGTTTGAAATTAGCACCACCTGTGATTAGCCAACCACATCTGGAAAAGGAGGGTCGGAGCACGCCTTCCTCTCCTGCAGGCTAGAAGCAGCACCTCCAACAGGAAAGGAGCTAGTTCACCTCACTGAAACCCCATATATCCCCCACAGGGCACAGTCCTGAGAGGTAAGGGAGAACAGCTCACAGGACAACAATACAAGAATAAGACTCTCAGGGTCTGTTGTTTGGGAACTAGAGGAAAAGCTTAAAGTCCCTGTTGGGGGCAGCAAGCAAAGTGCTCACTGAAATGTTTTTTAATCAAACCCACTGAGCCCAGGCCACTGAAACTGTCCATACAGAAAAGGAAATAGACTGAAGTCCGTCTGAAACTACAGTAGGCATTATATGGGGAACTAAAATTGGAGGATAGGGTAGAGACTGAGGAGCTGGCTTTGAAGCAGAGACTAACTTCTGCAAAGTGGGTGCCTGACTGAAGAATCTCTAAGTAAGGGGATCAGTATTCTGAGCTACACTAGCCATCCTGCACCCTGAAGACTCTACAGAAGACTCTCGAGTAAGACTAGGCAACCACAAGGGGGAGGAAAAATAGCTGACAGGTGGAGGTACACCACAGAGAGCCTCAGATCAGCCAACTACCTAAGGACACCAAAGCCAAACTTAGACAGCTCCTGACATTGGCTGATACACAAGTACCTCCCAGGAGAACTGAAATCAACATGCACAACAGTGAGCCTCAGAGAAAATAAGCTGCCCAGTTGAAACTATCTTGATTGGGTTTTTTTTCCTTGAGAAAAAGAGAGAAAAGTTTTTTTATTTTTAAAAATTTTAATTATTATTTTTAATTTGTTTTGATTTGCTTGGTTTTTTTTTGGTCTTGTTTTGTTTTTGTTTTTTGCTTTGTTTTGTTTTATCTTTTGTTCTATCATCAAGATTTTCTTGATATTCTCTGCTTAATTGCTAGGACATTATCATTATAACCAATAAGTTTACTGCTTTACTCTATTGTTTTCCCCATATATCTTATTGGACTTCTTCCCTGCCCTTGCATTATCTCTCTCTCTTCTCATTCCATTGGCATAACTTTTTTCTTTCTTTCTTTTTCTTCCTTTTTGTATTCCTGTGTTATTGTTTGATTGTTTGTTTCTGTTTGTCTCTTTATTGTATTTTTATTTTTTCACTTTCCACTATTTTCCTATTCTTATGCACTACCCTTTATTTTTTGCTCTCCCCTCTTTCAGAACATTTTCTCTGCTTTTTAAAAAAATCTCCAATCCCTTCCTTATTTTTTACAATTTATTTTAGTTTATTATTATTACTTTTTTTATCTTTCATTACTATTAGCAATAATATCATTTTCTCTCTCTATTTTTTTCTCTCTCTTTTTTTGGGGTCTAGCATTTGTGTTCTCACTTCACTCTCCCAATTCTATTTTTTCTTGGGATGTTTTCATTGTCATTGTAAAAATATTTTGTAAGATACTTTTGTTTTTTGGCAGTTTGGTTGTTTATTTTATTGCCTTGCCAAAACCTGTACAACATATCACAGGAAGTTGTTGGGCTTGAGACACACAGTTAGAAAACCTGAGAGGAGAGTACTCCCCAAAGAGGGTAAAAAACAATCTAGACCCAATCACAAGACAGGAGAGCCCAAAGAAATCACAAAAGGGACAACCACAAAAGGGACACACCTGGAGCAAATTGCTCTAAAGTATAGGGAAAACATACCACTGTGTACCCCTGGACATATACTATAAAATCTCACCCCACAAGGCTGGGAGACAACAAATATATCTAATAGACAGATACAAATATTAAGAGGCACCAAAACAGGGAAACAAAGAAACAACCCCCAAACTAAAGAAATGGAAAAATCACCAGAAAAGACAGTGATAAGATGAAGGTAAGCAAGTTATCAGAAAAAGAGTTCAGAGTACTGGTTATAAATATGATCAAGAAAATTAATAAGAACAACCAAAAACTAAATGGAAAGGTTGAGGAAGTTAGTGAAAATATGAAAAAAAAGCTTAGTATCATAAATAAGAAGCAGGCAGAAACGAAGAATACTATATCTGATATAAAGAATACACTGGAAGGAATTAAAAGCAGGCTCAATGAAGCAGAGGATAGAACAAATGACATAGAAGATAAGGTAAGAAAAAATAATCAGAGCAGCAAAAAGGAAAAACACTTAAAAAGCATGAGGACAGTTTAAGGGAGTTTCGGGAAAACAGGAAGCAAAACAACATTTGCAGCATAAAGGTGCCAAAGGGGGAAGAAAGAGAGCAAGGGATAGAGAAATTAGTGGAGGAAATAATGACAGAAAATGCCCCTACGTTGGTGAGGAGAAAGCCACACAAGTTCAGGAGCACAGAGGGTTTCAAACAAGAGGGACCCAAGGATACGTACTCCAAGACAAATCATAATTAAATTTGCAAATGTTAAAGACAAAGAGAGAATATTAAGGGCTGCAGGAGAGAGACAAAAAGTGACCTACAAGGGAACCTCCACAAAGCTGACAACAGATTTCTCAACAGAAACTCTTCAGGCCCAAAGGGACTGACATGAAGTTCTCAAAGTAATGAAAAGCAAGAGTCTGCAACCAAGATGGCTTGATCCAGAAAGGTTATCATTTAAAATTGAAGGTGAAATAAAAAGCTTCCCAGACAAAAGAAGGCTAAAAGAGTTCAGTACCACCAAATCAGAATTGCAAGAAATGGTAAAAGGACTACTCTAAGAAAAAGGTGGAATAGTGAGAGAAAGGTACTTCAGCATAAAAGGAAAAAATGGCATTAAATAAGTATATATAAATAGTAACCTTAAATGTGAATGGAATAAATGTTCAAATCAAAAGACAAGGAATAGCTGAATGGATAAGAAAACAAAGCTCAAATATATGCTGTCTATAAGAGTCCCACCTGAGAGTGAAAGATTCACACAGGCTAAAAGTGAAGGGATGGAAAAAAATATTCCGTGCAAATGGAAACGAAAAATAAACTGGAGTAGCAATACTTATTTCTGACAAAATAGATTTCAAAATAAAGAAAAGAAGAGACAAAGATCTTCACTACACAATACTGAAGGGATCAACCCAACAGGGGGAAATAACCCTTTTAAATATATATGCTCCAAATAAAGGAGCACCTAAATATATAAAAAATTTCATGATGTACTTTAAGGGGGATATCAACAGAAACACAATTATAGTGGGATATTTTAAGACCCAGGGTCATCACTGGAGTGATCATCAAAACTAAAAATCAACAGGGAAACACAGACCTTAAATGAAACACTAGATCTAATGAATTTAATTGAAATTTACAGAACATTTCTTTCCAAAACAGTAGAATACAGATTATAATGGCATGAAACTATAAATCAACCACTATAAAAAAAAAACTCAATAATATTCAAATGCATGGAGGCTAATATCATGTTATTGAACAATGAATTGGTTACCAATGAGATCAAGGAAGAAAAAAACCACTTCCTGGAAAACAATGAAAATGAACAGATATCAATCCAAAATCCATGGGACACAGAGAAAGCAGTCCTGAGAGGAAAGTTCATAGCAGCACTTGCATACCTCAGGAAACAAGAAAAGGCTCTACTAAGCCATCTAACACAACAACTAAAATAACTAGAATGAGAACAGCAAGAAAAGCCCTGAGGAAGTAGAAAGAAGGAAATAATACAGATCAGAGAAGAAATTAATGACATAGAGAGTAAAAAACCAATACCAAAAATCAATGAAACCAAAAACATTTTTTTTGAAAAGATAAATAAGATTGATACATCTTTAGCTGGACTCACCAAGAAACAGAGAGAATACCCAAGTAAATAAAATCAGAAATGAAAGAGGCAATATAACAAATGACTCAACAGAATTATATGGATTGTAAGAAAATACTATGAGCAACTATATGTCAACAAATTCAACAACATGAGTGAAATGGACAAATTCCTAGAAGTATACATTCTTCCAAAGCTGAGTAAGGAAGAGGCAGAAAACCTAAATAAGCTGATAACAACTAATGAAATTGAAGCAGTAATCAAAAACTACCAGGAAACAAAAGTCCTGCCCAGATGGATTTACAAGCAAGTTTTACCAAACATTCAAAGCAGAATTAACCCTTATTCTACTGAAACTATTCTAGACAATTCAAGAGGAGGGAAAACTCTCAAACTCTTTTTATGAGACCAGCATCACCCTAATCCCAAAACCAGATAAAGATCCTACAAAAAAAGAAAATTATAGGCGAATATCCCTGATGAACCTAGATGCTAAAATCTTCATCAAAATACTAGCAAACTGGATCCAGCAATACATTTAAAAGATCATACACCACAACCAGGTGGAATATTTTCCAGGGATGTAAGGCTGGTAAAATATCTGCAAGTCAATAAATGTGATGCATCTCATAAACACAATGGACAAATTCATATGATCATACTAATAGATGCAGAAAGAACATTCAACAAAATAAAGGACCCACTTTTGATAAAAACTCTCAGAAAATTCAGAATAAAGAGAATATACCTCAACATAATAAAGGTCATATGCTATAAACCTACAGTCAGCATCATACTCAATGGTCAAAAATTAAAACCATATCCCTTAAAAACAAGCAGGAGACAGGGATATCTGCTTTCACCACTCTTATTCAACTTAGCCTTGGAAGTCATTGCCAAAGCAATCAGACAGGAGGAAAACATAGAAAAGTGATCCAAATTGGAGAAAAGGAAGAAAAACTGTCATTATTTGCAGATATGATATTGTACATAAAAAACCCTAAAGACTCCAAGTACTACTAGATTTGGTAAATGAATTCGGCAAAGTACTTGGATACAAAATTAACATCAGGAAATCAATGGCATTTTTATAAACCAACAATGAACTTCAGAAAGAGAAACTAAAGAAATAATACCAGTTACAATTGTA